GCTATTGTTTTTCAAGTGAAAGAGGGTATGTTGAATGAAAGAGTCGTTGGTACATTATTAAAAATCAGCGAACAGCCGGAACGTTCCAATATAGCATGGATGCTTCTTAAAGACTTCTCTGTTGTGTTCAGAGTGAGCGTTTAGGAAGTCAATTAAGGAAATTTTCACTTGTTTGGGGTGGCTTTTAAGTCTGATTATGTTTTATGTTCAGAAGTAATGGAAATTGGTGCTAATGTCTATTAAGCCTAATTTATTTAAGGTGGACCCGACATTAGCGTGCCAGTTTTGGTTTTCAATAAATGAACACGATTTGTCGAACATTACATTCTACATTGCACATGTGTTAGCTCGAAGTTGTAAGCGTCTAAGTGAGAACGACCGGCAGCGTTTAATAAAAGATATGGAAGAAAAGTTGCTTAGTTTCAGGTAAAAGATTTTGGTTTATAGTGCTGTTGCTCATTTTCTTCTTACCTTATTTTAGTACCTGGTATTAAGAGCGTGTGACGAAACGTGGAAAATGAGTGCTATGGAGAATTATTCTTTTTATGGTCAAATTAGAGTTAAAATAGTCAACCGTTTTAACTATTTTCAAACATTCAGCTGCAGATCTTTTTATCGTAGGTTGCCAGAAAAACACATTCCTTCCGTTTATTATGCCTTTGCTAAACTTCACGATGGTGTTGGAGAAAAAGCTTCTGGTTTGAAAGCTTTTTTTAATGTTAGTGCATCCATCGGTTCCCGATGCTACCAAACAATGTTAGATATTTTGTACCTTCCCCAATCAGGTTCCCAACCGTCGCAAATATTGCCTTCTCAGACACAGTATGTACACTTTTATACCCTTTCTTTTCTTTTATCTAATTGTTTTTGAAATACAGCAGTCTAATAAAACGGTCATCTTTTTCCTTCAACTGTTTCTCTGTTCCCTATTTAGTCTTAAATCTGCAGGGAAGAAGGAGCTCGCCAGCTTTTACGAATAATTTGTACGATAGGTGAAGTTGTTCAGTATGCACCAACGTTGAAAAATGGAAAATGGTTTCATGAACTTCAGTTGATAATGGCTTCTGATGTTATTCAGCATCAGTTAACTCGTGACGGTATTTTGGAGTTATTTGTAATTTTTGTAACTTCATGACAGGAGGTAGTAATAATCTTAGTTGGGCCTCCAAATTCATCATTTTTTAAAAGTAATTTCTGTAAAATTTTTTCAGGTTTTCAGTTACCAACTTCCTTACCTAGCAGACCATCTACACGAGCAACTAGCGCTGTATGTTATTTCGCTCCACATTTTGCTGTTCTTTGGTTTAAAGTTAATATTCCAGCAAAGTTTTATTATTACAGTATGGTCCAAGCAACTATGTCACTAGTTCTCAAGTATCAGGTAATGATATAATGCCTTCAAGTACAGGACCAACATTCTTACATAAAACTATAGCAAACATCAGTGTGATTACACCTGCAGTTCGAGCCCAAGCAGTTATGACTATTGGAAAGATGTGTATGCTGGTAAGATTTTATATTTTGGTTTTTTGACCTGAACCTTTAGCGGTTGTTGCGAGGGTCTTCTAGCAAAACGTTTTGTTCCAAATTAGAGGTTGTAAAGACTGTAGTTTTTAGAACTTGAAACTGGCGAAAATGTGTATTCCAATATTTGCCAAGCAGGTCCACACAAATAGTGATCATTTGGTTCGTAATAACATTGTAATAGTCGTATGCGATTTGTGTATTAGGTATGGTGCATACTATGTTTCCACCATCTGCTTTTATAATGATCACTTAGGCTATTACGTTATTGAATTAAGGTATACGTTCCTGGTTGATCGCTATAGTGAAATTCTCGCATCGTGTTTAAATGACGAATCAACGCTTGTACGTAAACAGACGCTTATTCTCTTAACAAACCTTATCAAAGAAGCATTCATTAGGTGGGAAGGGCAGGTGAGTGGTTCTCTGTAGTCTGATTGTATATTTTCTAGTTTTAAACAATCCCTTTTTGAAAGAAGTAGATGTTGTTTCAACTCATTGTGAAGAACTTTATAGATTATGTACCGTTTTGTGTCTACATTGTTAGATGAAGTGACGGAGATTAAAGAATATGCGGAAATGTGCTTGGTAGGATCTATTCGCTACATGCTTTGATTGTTAAATTTCTTCATATTTTATGCTGTTTTGTTAGGTTATGTTGGTTTCGCCAAAAGTTATAGATGTTTTTACAGGTCGATGTCCTTCTTGTCCAATTTCCAAATATGATTTCAAACCATTTTATTGAATGTTTATTCTACTTTAATGCCGTCGCGCACCGTTCATGGACAGCTTTTAATCAAGGTGAAACGTTTTGGGACTGTATTATGAGCCTTTTTTTCATCTTTGATCACCTTAAAAAAATTGGGTGTTGTTTTGTCAAAAAGAAAAGATGGATTTGAAGGGTTACTCAAGAAACTATCGACATCTGCCTGATTAATTTTGAAAAGGTGAGTTAGTGGATTGAGCTCTACTATTTCAGATGGTGAGGAGAAAAAAAGACAGCCTGAATCGAGAAAATCTCCTTTGAGAGGATCTGCTTTTAAAGAGAAAAGGATGAAATTGTATAGGTTCATGGTAACTTTTATTGCTTTAACAAGTTTTATTATAAAAAGGTTTGTTTGATTAATCATCTTTTTTTTCTTTTATAGTGGACTTTAAATGCAGGTAAAAACGTTCGATGATCAAGCAAAACTGGAAATTATGAAACGCATATCTAATGAAGTATTTTTTGCCACGGCCGAAGGTGCCCTAAGTGTATCTGAAGCGAGCGTCGTAGCGCTCCTTGAGGATTGCTATGATGTACAATTTTTTTTTTTTTGCCAGCACTGTATAAAACTCCTGTCAAGTTTTGAGGGGAAATGCAGTCCCCACTCGCAACTAAAAAACTTCAACATTTTTTTCTTAGTTTTGTTTTAAGCTTTAAAACTTATTAAAGTTTTATAATTATTTATTTATTATTTATTTATTAATTAAAGTAATTATTTTTTGAAGGTGATGTGCCTTAAAGAAATAAAGCTTTCTATGGCAGTTGGAACTCGTGGAGGTGACGACGACGATGAAAATGATTATCCAGCAGAAGTTGTGGTGAGATATCTTTTTTAGTTCTTTTTGTTATCTTTATGGGTCAATAAATCTACCGTAGCTTTGCTGTTCATAATGTCCTTTAAGCTATGTGTTTTTTATTTTGCAGGCTGAAGTTAAAAAAGTTTTTGCTAAAGTGTTCCGCTCAACCATTGTTGACAATATATTGCCCGGCATTATCAGTTTGAAGTATTTCTTACAAGACAAGATGCAGGGTTCTCTTGCTCGTGGGATTTGCAGAGTATTAAGGTAACTTCTTCCCACCTTTTGCAGTATAGTTACCGCTTTTCCATCTTTGTGTTTTTGAATTTAGAAATTAGTTCTGCACTGTCTTTTTTTTTGGGGGGGGGGGGGATAGTTGATCAAATATTTTTATAGCAAACAGCAAAATAGTTCTTCTTCAAGAGTTAAATTTTGAGTTACAGTCCTGCGTTCTTATAAAAATTTACAATTCTAGAGAAATGAGTCGTGACCATCGCGAGCAGTTGGATGAATTTCTTGCAAGTGATCAACGTTTGAAAGCAGAAGTCGAGTATGACTTAAGAAAATTGGAGGTACAGGAACTGACAATTTAGGCAACGTATAAGTCGACATTTTGTGATCGTTTTCAAAAGAAATTGCTTTGAAGGAGATGGAGGAGAAAGAAAAACAGCGGGTTCTTTTGGAGGAGCAGGTCGCTAGAAGAAAGTCTTTACGTCAGTCAGCAGTGATAAACAGAAGAAGGACAGAAATCTTAAGAACTGAGGCTGTGGTGAATGAAAAGACAGATATAACCGTGGAGGGAGATACAGCGAAGCAGACGAACGAATGTTAGTTCACAAGTTGTAGATGATTTGTGATTGAAGACTTAGAACCATTTTGTAATTGATTTTTTCTTTGTAAAGGTGTTGAAATGATGAAGGTGGCGGAAGAAAATGGCCGTGAACCTTGCGACAGCAAAGTAGCAGTGCAGGAGAATCTAGAAAATGACAAAGCCGTTGGAGAAGAGGTTAACAATCCGGAGTCAGTCGCTAACGAGAATCGTAATGTTTCCTTCATTTCTTAGAATATGATCTGTATTAGTTTTCCATATTGAAAACGTGGGACCTTAGGTGTTGCGAATACTCAAGGACAGTCTGATGGTTGTGACGTGCCGGTCCTTAGTGCGTCTTTGTTTGGTGAATCTTTCGCAAAAAATGTTTCAGTCCGGAAGGTGTGTTAGTTTTTCCAGCAACCTGTGGATGCTTTTGGCTTTGTCTGTTCTTACACTGCGTTCGGCGCTGTAGTGTCTTTTCTTGAATTCATTTTCATGGAGATATGTTCCAGCGTTCAAGCAGAAAGGTCACTGGAATGAAAAGGACTAATACGCCACTTTTGAAGTCACCTGGTCAGAGGAAGCACAAGAAGCTGGAGTCAACAATAAACCTACCTTTAGAAGGAAGCCAAGCTATGGAAGCGAGAGCTATATCAACCCCTCTACATACAGTAAATGAGGTTCGATTTAACAAAGAAGTTTTAGCTTGTCAAAATAATTGTCTTGTATTTTTTCATAATTTCTTCTGACAAGTTTATGTGTGAAAATTCTGACTTTTTAATATCAACTGGTTTTTTGTGTGCAGTCGAATATTCTTACTTTGGGTAGAAAAGTTCTTTTTAGGTTACTTTTGCAGTGGGCGAACTTTCAGCTATTGCGTCTCCAGGAAGAAAAACAAGTGAGTTTTTAATAACTTGGGGCTTCTACTTAGACTGCCGAGTTATTTCAATTATTCTTCTAAGTGGACAATATTTTTTCGAAGACATTATGCTTTGACTTTTACCATTTGAAAGGAGCATAGGTTTTCGAAGTAAAATTTATGCTTTTTACCAATCATTTGAAACATCTTTCTTATTAGATTACGAAAGTGTGTTTTAGAAATAACGCGTCGGTTGCGTAGTCGTCCAGAGCTGCTTTGAGGGAATTTTTTTCATGTTTAATGCAAATTGACTTCTTGAATGATAAGTACAAAACACACGCTTTGGTAAATGTATAATGTGTAACAAAAACACCTCTCCTCTGATCTCACTTATGTACAATATATTATGTTTCAAACAATTCTAATATTAATTTCAGATTGTAATTGTTATTTTTATGTTGCTGAAGGGGGATTGTTTCTTCACAGCTGGACAGCATTGTTAAATCACGCTTGAATTCTCCATCTTGACATTGATTAGTTCAAGCCAGAAGTTCTGATTATTGTTTTACTGTTTACTGCGTTTGGTTCAAATTTTTGTCTGTTGGGTAACCGACAGTTGGTGGAAAAATTATTTGGGAAAGTTGCGGTCATCTGTAATGAAAATATCTAGATGTGCAGGGGTTCTTGCGATGTGGCGATTTGAGTGACCAATGAGCGAGGGGGGCTTTACAGAAAACTGGTTGTATTTTTTTGAACACTGGTCTGATGTATTCCTCTTCTTGTTTGCACGTTGGGGGGTTCTCTATATGTTTGTGGATTTTGATATATTCTGACAGTCTTTTGAACTGTATTCGGTGTAAAATGTTGTAGCTTAGCAAATAAACCTAGAGTGTATGTGTACTGGTCGTCTTTTAAGGAAGGCTGCATTTGAGGTACTGCGAGCTAGCAGCGCAGTTGCTTTTTTTAGCTGTGTTACTCTGCTGACGTATACGTCAGCGGTGTATAATCTAAAAGGGTTATGCAAGCGGGTAACATTTAGCTGGCTGGTATATGTTGGGGCACAGGGGGCTGATCTACATTAGCTTGGAGTTTTTGTTTGTAAGGGGGTGACAGTCTTTTTCAGAATTTTGACCTTTATTAGAAAGTTTGCTGGTTAAGCACTCTTGGTTGGGTTGTTGAAGTAGCCAGATAGGAGTATAGTAGGGCGCTGCACATTCCAGGAGGCAGGACAATTATGGCATCTGCTTGGTTCATAAGAGTTGGGTCTTTCTTTAGCGGGGAGTTGTGCTTTAAAGAGACTGGATAAGGACATTTATACCACAGGGTCAATTGTGAAATGAACAAGAAAGAGGCGTTAAATTCTTTTTGAAGGTAGAGTTACGGGGGTGAATGGGCTGGACAAGAGCCTTCTGCTAGTTCAATTGCCGAATTAAAGATGATCAAGATGAACTATTCATCTGTCTATGGCGCCTCATTAAATCTTGAAAAAATGTGTTCTGTGATCAGTAGAACTGTTAATGGAGGGTTTATTATTTTACGTCTTATGAAAACACATGACTTTTGCGTTACTGAAAATCATAGAAAGGTAATTATGACATGTATTGAGAATGAGTTCGAGAAAAAAAAAAGTGATCAACGCTTAAAAGACTTGTAAATGGGCAGTGCAACAAGAAAGAAATTGTCGTTCGAAAAGATTTGTTTTCTGGTAGCAACGATTACCGAAAGCTGCAGTTTTTTTTTTTTTTTTCTGTGGGAGGAGTGTTTGTTTAATTATTATCTGTGACGTGTGCGGTTGGGTAAAAGTAAAAGGGTGGTTATAAGCTCAGAGAATATTTAGTTCTGTTTTCTTTAAGAATCACTCAATAGTGATAATGACATTGAATTCAGCAAAAAGATCATTTGGTCAGTGATACTGTGCTCAAGCTTTTTTGCCAATTATGGCCACCTTTGTTCCCGAATAACATTTCCGGCAAAGAATAAACAACGATCAACAGCAGTAACACAAAAAGAGTAAACTGATTGCAGTTTAAGGTTTTCAATGTTATTATTTATTATCCTCTCAATAAATTTGTTGCTTATTCTATTTGAGACAATAAAAAAATTTTCAATACAAAACTATCAACAGAAATTTTGGCTTTTGTCTTTTTTTTTTTTTTTTCAAAACTTTTATGTAAAAAATTTACAAAAATTATTGTAGTACAGTGGTTGTCATCTGATGCCAACGGATCTGCCTGCAGTAATGAAGCTTTAAAAGAAAAATGTGAAACACAATGTGCATGTTTTTTTTTTTCGGCAAAAATTTTCCAGAATCTTAGTTTCATTTTTCATCGCAAAATAAACAATCAGTTTATATTATTGGTCAAAAATTAATTGTCAACACTGTTATTTGTGCCATTTCTTTTCTTCTGTGTTTAGTTGCATCAAAGCAGTAAGTAGAAACTGATTTTAAACATTTGATGCGTATATGGTATACACGTTATTCAGTTGATTTTTTTAACCCTCAACTTATTCGCATGTAATCATATTTTTAGGAAATGTGCATACAAATGTTGATTGTATGTATAGATAAACAAATATATATATATATATAATAAACAAACAGGTATATGGCATTAGCTGTGTTAGCTCGGTTGCCAGTAGTCTATATAATGAAACATATAAATCAGTTGCAAACAATACAAGGCATGAGAAAATCACAATATTCACCTGATTTGCTGATTTTCAATATTTTCAGAAAGCGGATAGGGGGGGAGGGGGGGAAGTCCAATTAAAGTGTCAAGTCTTTTATCCGCTCTTCGGTTTTCGACGTCGTCTTTATATCGATGTTATTATTCTTTTTGTTGTTGCTACTATTTTTGCTGTTGCTACTGCTGTTACTGCTACTGCTACTGCTGTTGTTGCTGTTGCTGCTAGTGCTAAGGTTGATTAAAATATTTTTAACGACATTCAGTCAAACGGCTTTTTCTCACCAAAACAAAATAGAATACATTTTAAAGGAGAAAAGAAAAGGTTTTTAGAAGAAGAAAAAAGAAATGATTTCCAGTAATTTTTTTTTTTTTTTTGTTTCGGTTTTTTCAATTTTATTATTAATTTGAAAGAAAAGAAGTCTGTTCTTTTTTTTTTTTTTC